GAGCCCGGCAAAATCCGGTCCGGCAAACAAGCCCAGGGTCGTTCACGAATGTTTGTTTTTTCCGTTCAAAATGCGTCTCGAATGAAACAACAAGTTGACTGAACTCCTAAGAGATCCATTGCGTGAAAACAAAAGTTTTTTTTGTATATTTACAGAAGTTGTTGCGAAATTCATTATTTTTAAAACTTTTTGACTGCCGACAAGTCGACCAATTTGCCATTCATTGAAAGTTATTAAACGTTAGCATTATGCTGACGAAGATTATCCACCTTTTTCTTTTACATCAACCCATACTAATATGGACCAATCAACGACATAGTTTCATGGCCAATGTTTAATATGATATTTAATTAATTTTTAGTAATCAACCAAATTAATTCAGTTTAAAAACGTACGACGCTAATATCATTTCAATGCTGGTTGGTAACGTTAGTATTTTCAAAAAAACGTTTTTGTTGACTCACACTGAAATTCGTCCATAACGAAAAACGAGACTAAGATATTAACTTGACAGTTCTAGAAAAAGGGGTGGTTGGATGTGGTTAAGACTGATTAGGGTGTTTATGGTATGTTAACATTTTGGTTAGAATTAATTAAAAATTGTATTTAGGGGTTAGGACAAGATTATAGATAGCCATTGGTGGTTCATATAATTAGATTAAAATTGGTTATGGTTTGTTGATAGTTGATTGGGGTGGGTGGAAGTTGGTATGGGTTTTTAAATTTAGTAAGATAGTTAGGAGTGATGAAATTTAGCTAGGGATGGTTAAAATCGGTTAGGGGTGGTTTATATGGGAAGTTACTGATTGTTAAAAAAAGATGGTTAAAAAACTGCGTTAGAAGTGATTAGGGATGATTATTGTAGTGGTGTACGTTCATTTTGATAAAAAATAGTTAGGGATGGTTAAAATCGGTTAGGGGTGTTTTATTTAGATAGCAAGTAGTGGTTGCTGGTTGTGATATAAAATTAAAAACCGCTAGAAGTGATTAAAAATGGTTATTTTCGTGGTTTTCGTAGATTTTGGTAAAAGATGGTAAGGGGAGTTTAGAAGTTGTGAGCGTGTTTTTGGATGATTAGAGGTGCATATTTATTTATTTATAACTTCAATAGATTTATACTCCAAATCCGAAATAGGCATGTAGACGTTGTTTAAATGATCCTTAAGGTTTAAGTAGTCATGAAGTAGTTGTAAATGGTTAATTGCGGTTAGGTGTAATTATGAGCGGTTAGAAGTTGTGAGAAGGTGTTTTAGGGTTCTTAGAGCTGATTAGAGGTGGTTTTGGTTGGTTAAATGTGATTTGAGATGTTTGATGGTTGTTAGTGATAGTTATTGTTTGGTAAATTCTAACAACAACGATGAGTTTATTTTTTGGGCAATATTGTGTTATTTGAATTCATTTTTGCCAACAGGTACAATATGTTTCATTGAGTTTTATATGTTTTATGACATTTGTCAAATTTTTCCTTGAGATCATTTGCTTTTTTGTCCATACTTTTTATGACGTTAAAATTATATGCTCTTTGTTTCATTTTCTGGGTAACCTGTCTTTCATTTTCATTCACAGCTAGATTTCTTGTACGTAATTTTTTGTTGTATTTTTAGGAGCACTGCGTTTCAATGTTTATTATCGTTTCTATATATAGTTTTTTAAATTTTTTTATGTTTTATTTGTGTGTTTGTTGTTCTTCTTGGTTGTATGGCGTATTTCATAGTATTGTTTATAATTAGGCGATTGTTTTTTACTGTGATGGGTAAAGTTAAATAATCCTCTTGCAAATCTCACATTATTTATGCATATTTATGTTAGAACATCATTTTCTTTTTAGTTTGATCTATTACTACAATACAATATGCAGCAAGCTCATCGTTATGTATTGAATTGAATATTTACCAAATCTTGTTTCTTTTTAGTACTTGATTGAATTCTTTCATCCTTCGGCCGGTGGAAAGTTAAAGTTTTTTTTGTTAAAGTTCTAAAAATCCGAGTAGGTTTGCGAGGTCCCGACCCAGGAATTGGAAGCGATCCGTTGTAAATAATTCTAGGAAGTGAGATTATATGCGGAAGTGCTTTTTGCCGAAAGATGGGAACTATTTGCGTAGAGCCGTAAAGGGCGGTCTCGGGAAGATTGGATGCCCGTAAAGCTAGGGCCGTCGACTTGTCTTATTTATTATAGTTTTCGGTCATCGACCCTTCCCGCGCCCTTCCTCCAGGTATATCCGGAAAATGCTAAGAAACGCGAAAGGATTAAATCGGCTTTAAAAGTTTGTTTTCAAAAATGTTAATTTCCGAAAGGTATTTGAATATATGCACATGCAGGTAGTTGTTGCTGGCAAAATCAGCGGGAATAAGCGGTCCAGGATATTTGGAGGACATCGGGATATGAGCAACTCACAGGTCAATAATGCACTATTAGATTGCGCAATATTCCGTTCAAGGCGTTATAAACTGTTGATCAAAGTTACAAGAATGGTGAAGAGGAAAAGAAGAATCTTATCTTAGATGATTACTCGGTGGTAAGGGATTTTAGTCATCTTGTATGTTATGCAACATATTTTATAAAAATTCTTTAATTAAAAAAGGACTACGATGCAGTTTGCTTGTTCCAAATATCAGTAAAATAGCTGCTCCAGAGAAAAAGTTTTCTGATGAGAAGGACGGTCAGAGCTCCGAAATGCATACATGCATTTAAATAAATAATTTTCAAAAAAGAAAATTACATGAAATACAATATAAATATTACCTCTTTCTTTAAAAGAAAGCAACATCAAGAAAAACAGCATATGACAACTTGATGGTAAATTTTTGACGAAATTTTAACAAAACCCAGATTTTTAACCCAACCTCGACCGTACCTGTACAAGTAACTTTGGAGAGAAATGCTTGCCAAAAATTATGGCACATCAGACAGAATAGACAGACCAGTTATGACATATACAACAAAAGCATAAATCATATATTGACAGATGTGAACTCTTTACAGAAAAATATACAATTCATAGGATAAAGCAACAGCATTATCAACATTTGCGTACTGGGGTACTAGCATTTTTGAAAAAATCCCATATGTAAGTAAGCTGCCTGGCATCGTTTCCTGACTTTTACACATATTAGTTATTTTGTATTTCGTTTGATTTAAACTTATTTTATTTTTTATGAGGGTATTTCAACTACGAGCTTCTATTCTTATTACGTTACTATTATTTTACTTCCGTTACTAATTTCCTTGCTACATGCAAAGAATTAGCAGTTGCTATCTTGCATGAAACGAACTAAAAATAAACAAATATTTAAAAATTAAAACGAAAATACAAATATGTAAGTATATTGTAGAATTTGAAACAGTGTAACAAAAAATGGTCTATAAAAAATATAACTCTTCGAGTGCCAGTGTTTTTGAGGAATAAAGTCTATTTGTAAGACCATTCTGCTGAAATTCGAACTCGAGACATTTGCAGTCACCGTGTCAACAAATGAGGCCCCTAGACGCCCCATTCATTCATTTATGTAATTCTTGTTATCAGTATAGTGGATCACATTTTATTTATTAAATTTGCTGCTGACAAAAAGCTGAATAATTAGGCAATATTTTCTTGGTTGTCCCCTAATATTTCAGCTATTCGGGAGAGAATTAAATTTTCTTAAATCATAACAAAATGCGACATGATAGTAAAATATGTTTTGTTGTTATTATTTCATTGCAAGCTCTACAGGCGGAGGGTCACAGGCCAGGACCCTGGGTGGTCCAACAGTGCCCTATTCTCAACCTACTCAATACAACCACCTCCTGTCTCTTCAACCTAAACGATGAAGGCCATGCCTGTGTGGTAGACTTGATTTCACGAAGCTTGTTGTTTTTAACTGAATGCCAGGTTTTTGCCATTGTAAATATGTTTTCTCCCTAAAGGCCGCAATGGTATCATCCTTGTTACCTCCTCAACAAGATTTCCATCTCCAACTGCCTCTTTGGCAGCCATATCCGCTCTATCTCATTGCCAGGGGTACCCGAATGACCAGACAAAACTACTCTTTCCCTTGCTGCTCAAGATGACTCAATGAGCACAATACATCTTGTACCATAGGGTTATTGCTAAAAAGATAATAAAATGTTTGCAGGGCAGCCATGGAGTCAGAACAAATAACCATTATTTTGTTGAGGGATTTATTTATGGCTATCATTTCGGCGCTATAGTTGCTTGCTAGGGAATTTAGTGAAAATAAATATTTCCTTTTTACACAGATACGTGCAGCACCAACATCCCTGAAACCTGTATATGCATATGTCGCTGAAAGGTGCGTTTTTGATTATTTGAAACTCCTGTTTGTATATGAAGTAAGGAGTGGTGGCTTTATTATATTTCGCCAGTGATAATAAAATTTTAGGGTCGGGTAAAAGCCAGGGGAGGTAATCAATTAGATTCAAAGATCGAAACTGGCACGATAAAGAAAATGTTTTTCTGAAACCTACATCACACCAGACCGCATCTCACGATTTCTGAATAATCATCGACGGTCACTAATCACCACACACACACCCACACGTAATCAATTAGGTTTCTGTTTAGATAAGGGACACTGAAATGCCAGCCCTAATAGATTTGTATAATAGATAGGTATAGATTTGGTGGCCTGATAATTAGAATAAGAATTAGTGTTAGAAAAGAAATTATTTAGAGGGTGAGTAGGAGTAGCTATAATCCTAGCATATCATTTCAGGACCAGCAAATTAAGTCGAAGGTTTAGGGGGAGCTGACCAGCACCGACATGGAGGCTAGAAACGGGACTGGACCGATAAGCCCCAGTAACAGTCCTCAACCTCATGTTTTAAATTGGATCTGATGCTTACTCTCTTTTTGTGAAAAAGTTATATATATTGCATTTTTGTTTCTTTAAAGTACTTTTTTTAAAGGAAGGAAAATTTTTCTGCGGAAGAGGGAAATTTCTTGCGTAGGGAGGGACGCGACAACACTGGCCTCGCCGTGAAACCCCCGCCACCGCGTAACCTCCTTAAACGGGCTGGGTTTCGTTTAGTTCATGTCTCGTGCCAATTGCGCCGCTCTAGCTTGTGTTTCCTTTTATTTTTGTTTTCTTTCGTCCTGCTGAAATGAAATGTCCATCTCTTGCGAACAGCTCTGCCCTTTTCTAGCTGAATTCGGTAGAAGATATGCTTGCGCGTTACAGTTGAAATACTTCGATTGGCAGGTAACCACTCTTTCCAACGACACCTCCGATCAATCTTTGTTTACCGTTTTAAACGCCTATTGTCGTCCTCGTCTCTTTCGAATGCGAATAAATTTAAATTAAATCCGTTCACATTTTCAGAATGTAAATACACGCGAAAACACACAAATTCATTCACACACAAATAAATCTCTGGATTTGACAATTGAACCGATAATCCAACTTTCCAACTCTTATTGAATTTGTGTATAAGGTTATCGAGTAGTGCATCATGTTAAACTTGACAGAACGGTTTGTACATCGGAAAGTATGTGGTAAAAATTAGTTACTGCGTACATGCTATTCTAGGGTAAAGAAAAATCGTTTAGCTTCTTGATTCTTATTATTTTTATTGTTGGACGTATTTCAGATTTGTTTGGGTTTGAATAAATTTATTAAGCTTATAAGTATAATCATAATAATAAGTATAACTCAAAGCATTTAGTATTTGATGTGTGGTCACTTTCATCTGCACACATTTCTGGCCCGTGGAAAAGGCTGAGTGCCTGTACATGTTATCCAATAATTAAAAATAATTTCAATTAATTTAAGTCTTGATTGTGATGAAAAAGTTAGTATCACGAGTGGGATAGAACCTACGACCTTCGGCTCAATACACTGCTGCTTTAACAACTAGAGCTATCGTGATTTCCATCCAGAAAATTCGAAAGTTTGTAGGTTGAGATGGTGAGTTGGTGTTCGAGCGGATATTGATTCATCATCCTTGACATACTCGTATTATTGAACTCATACTAAAATTAAACAGGGTTCTTTTTTCAATGCGGGTACTGTATAATAGTCAAGTTTTATGGTATGCCACTATTTAGGTCTTTAGAAGCCGAAAAAAAAGTATTAGCATTATGACAGGCGTGTCTTGCCATCAGCTTTTTGTAAATAACAAAAGACTCTAACCTGCCTACATAGATATATACATTTATCGAATTTCCATTTTCATAAAAAAAAAATCAAATCAAATCCTTTTCGCTACTAATTTGACAATTCATTTTTATAATACTCGCTTCAAGAATGATTTAGGGCATGATAATAGTAAATGGTCTAATAAATGTATTTCCCGCATGGGAACTTACATTTTCAATACTCTTCCTGCTAATATTAAATCAATTAATGGTTTGTCCAGGTTTAAAAGCGCCTTGAAGATATATTTACAGGGAAAACCATATAAATTAATTTTTTAGTTCTTCAAGGCCATTATACCTTATTGTGATAATTATGTAATTATTTATTAAGTCTTAATTATATTAATTTATTTGTAACTTGATGTTTCTACATTCAGTATATATTACGACAATAAATGAATCTTCTATCAAGTACTCAGTGCAAGTACTATCAGCTTTTTTTTAAACTGTATTTATTTTTTATTTATTTATATTTTTTTGTTTCTTTCACTTAATTTCTAATAACAAATTTTATGTTCTGTTTGCTTTTAAAACTTATAGTCCGACCTCAGACGACAGTTGTAATACATTGCTATACTGTGCTTTGTGTTATATGTTATATTATATTATTATGTTGTAAAAGATTATTTTCATTTGTTTACTTAATAAAGTACTTTTTTCATTAATTAATTCATTCATTCAGGTTAAATCTGATGTAAAAATGATATTCTACATACATGCTATTAAAACAGGCACAATGTTATAATTAACCTACAAAGCCTTGCCTCAGAGGCCTAGTGGATTTTAGAACGATAACGCAGAAACACAATGCTTGGAGAAACTTAAAAGTGGCTTATGTGTGAGCAAGATCATGTGATTTGGGGTGGAAAGGTAACATTGATTGGGAAATACTGCTAAGTCTAAGAAGCCTGTCTTATTACTGTCTGGATTTAACTGGGTGTTTAACTGTGTTCTGTGTACTTAATAATTTAAAAAAAAATTGTATTGGAACATTACTTGTTTGTACAAGTTATAGTGTAACGTTAATCACATCATTGTCATTGGGGATGAAAGTAACAAGCAAAAATTGATTATTTCCAGAAGTGGTTCTCTTCCATAAGTTATTTTGAATGATACCAGACCTCATTTTTTTTCTTTCTTTTAGGCACTGATATCTCACTTGTGCCAACTGCCATTTGACAGCTGTGAGAGTCACATTGATTCGCTCTTGAATTTGACTGTCGACCACCCTCATTTGATTAAGTACCCAATAAAACCATCATACAGGAGAGCATTTTTAAAACAATTCATTAATAAGGTAATTTTTAAGAAGTGTTGATATTATTTTAGAATTAGAATAAGATTGATCAGCGATGAAATGGGCTAAAAATGATTTATTTTATTTTAAAATAATATTAAATTATGCCAGATTGAAAACTTAATCTTTTTGTTTTAGATAGAAGAATGTGATATATCTCATGAACGTACTTATGAGAAATTGATAGAAGTTTTGGCGAGTGAGATCTGCACCGAGGATAACTACCACTTCAAGCATTTTGTGATAGGGGATCACTATATATCTTTGAAGGAGAGCGTCAGTGCTATTTCTCAAGGAACAACAGGGCTTTGTACTTGGCAGGTAATGAAAATCACAAAAATTTCTTTCTGAATATCATCGATGACGTTTTTATAGGCAGGAGTCGCACTAGCAAACTGGGGGATAAGGCATAAAGAGTTTCTTTGTAATAGAAAGGTGCTTGAGCTGGGGAGTGGATCCGGCCTGACTGGTCTTGCACTTATATATTCTGACGTAACCCCGTCGAGTTATATATTTTCCGATTGTCACCCGGCAGTTCTCAAGCAACTCCAATATAATATAAATCTCAATAATCCAGAATCCAGAACGGATTCGCTTAAAACACTGCTCGAGACTAATGTCAGGATTTTAAGCCTGAATTGGGAAGACGTAGAGTACACGAACTTTGATCCGCAGTTCAAACCTGAAGTCATTTTAGCTGCAGGTTAGTGAAAAAAACGCACTTTTAATCTTAATTAGGATAATTTAAATAAATGCTTAAAGCAATAATATTTATGGAAGAGTATGAGCATGTTTGCCACCCAGAAGGGCATAGGGCAGGTCGGAAGAGGCCGGGGAAACATTGCAAGAATGAAAAAGGTATGACGAGCAAATACTTCAAAACAATCACCCATCGGGATAAAAGATGGATCCCTCCGAGATCGCCTTATTCGTTGATACAGGAAGATCTTTACGCTTGCCCCTGGCAGCTTCTGATCGCGACAATTTTCCTGACCAAGACATCTGCCCAGAAAGCCATCCCAAGGATTCACAAATTCCTGGAAAAGTGGCCGACTCCTGAAAAATTGCTCGAGGCCGATAAAACCGACGTGTCGTCCATCATTTCACCCTTAGGACTTGGGAACTTAAGGACTGAAACTATATTCCGATTCACCAAGGAGTATTTGACCTCCAACTGGACATACCCGATCGAACTGCATGGAATCGGAAAATACGGGAACGACTCTTTTAGAATGTTTTGCATTAACGAGTGGAGAGAAGTTTCACCGGATGACATCCCGTTGACTATGTATCGCAATTGGCTTTTGGAGAACTGCAGTGCTCTCGGCTTATAAACTAAATCTGTGATCCTAAGTTTCTAAAGTGTATATATTCAAAGAAAAAATGTAATTTAAAAATAATTTGTAAAAAAATGTATGTTAATAATAAAATGAATCTGATTACTATTTCAGCACAGTCGAGCTAAGTGTCATTGGTGAGCCATTTCGGTTGAGAACCACATTTTTCAAACTCGCCATGTTTATAATTACCAACATGTAAAGTTTGTATGACATTATATTAGTACATTTACGTGCGTATGTAGTATATAAATCCCGAAATTTTTTTTTCTCTTAACCGCTTCATAACTGTTCATTTCAATAACGTACTCTTAATGAAGCTGTAACCACCATCTAAGCGAGGCCTAACCATTGTTTCAGATGTTGTGTACGACAACTCGATCCTTCCTGCATTGTGCCAAGCATTGGTCCTATTAATCGACACCCCAAAGACAATTGGCATTGTTGCTTGCACAGTCCGAAACTTAGATACACTACAAGAATTTCTTACAAATATAGGTAGGTTTTCTTTATAAAAATGACACTTTTGCACACAATGACTAATGTCGAATAATTACTTTTATATCAATAAAAATCAATATTAATCTAACAGTGTTGAAAGTGAATATTTCAAAATTGAAATTAAATAAACTGCTCAAAAATGATTAGGGATATTTGTAATTTATTCTTATTCTATTAATTTTAACTAACCGATATATTCTTGTTAGTTGGATAGAACAAAATAGAAAATACAAACCAAAAACAAACAAATAATCCTCATTTTTAATAAAAGATTTAGTTAAGTAAACATGAAGATTAATCACAAGTGGGATACAAACCCACGACCTTCGGCTAAATACGCCGCTGCTCTACCACTTGAGCTATTGTGACTTCGATCCACTTGGACACTAACTTCCCATCTCAACCCCACCTTGTTTTTTAATGTTCCCTCCTTTTTGCCATTTTTTATCTCAACCAAACCCTTAATTAATTGAAAAGAATTAATTGGTCAATCTGACCAGGAAACCTAATTGATTATTCATTTTGTGTACAAACACCATTTCTTGTCTTCTCCATTTTAAACCAGTTGTATTCTCTTTAACCGTGGAAGACATCATCTTAACAACTCATCGAGGACACCGGCCATTGGATATCGTATAGACAATTGGCGTTTCTCAGAGTGTGGTCTCCCGGGTTCTAGCCTGATTCCAAGAGACGGGAAGTGCCAATAGGAGGCCTGGTAGTGGATCTCAGTGCGCTACAACGCTAAGGGAGGACAGAAATATTGTCACTGCTATGAGACGGAACCCTTTCAATATTGCCTGCCAGATCCTAAATGAAGTACAAGATGTTTTGGCAAAGCCTTTATAACACAAACGATTCATAATCGGCCTCACATGGTATGCCTCTTATAGGCAGCCTGCAGAAATTTCCCATCTGCCTCTTCCCCATTGTCTCCAGACCTCAAAATTATTGAGCACATATGGGATGCGTTGCAGAGAAGACTTTGATTCCATCCTCAACCAGTTGAACTGTAATAACTGAGCACAGCGTTGCAACATATATGGAGTGAAATTCATTATGAAATTAGTGACAACCCTATTAATTAAAGGATGCCTAACAGGTGCACAGAGGTTTTAGTAGAGAACATTATGCAACGTATTAATTGTTTGAAAAAATTGTTATCTCCAATAAACAAAATTTTGGAACTAAAACCTTTTATTTTGTTACTTTTCAAAATCCTTTAATTGAATTTTCCTTCAGTAAAAAACATAATAATTTCTAATAAATTTTAATACAATTTATAATAAAAATAAAATAAAAATGTTAGGGAAAGTAAATGCTATAGAATTGGCAATACCCCTATTCATTTTTGAGCTGTTTTTCATTTTTTTAAGAGATCTAGAATATATTCTGAGATTTCCTCTTGGGTATGCAGGGCAATAAACTGGTTTTTCTAAATTGTTTTTGATTATTAAATTTGTTGATTAAAACAGCCAGGACACATGGATCAAAATGATTGGAAATGATAACCCATGAATTTAGAATAGGTATAGTACGATAGTAATAGTGTATACCAGATAGATAGCCAGAGAAGTTCATGTGGTTTTTTTATTTGTGATTGTTTTAATACCATTAACCAGCATTTCTATTTAAATATGTGTTTTCATCGTGTAATACTAATAGGCTAATGTGTTGGTTTTAGAGAAAAAGTGTCTACCATTTCACTGTAAATTATAAAACATTTTCTTTCTAATAACTTAAATACCCATAATTTGTGCTTATTGTATGAATTACTATGAATTAGACGTTAATAGGGCAATTGAAGCTACTCACAAAATTTGCCTTGCAGGTGATGAAACAATAATTAATTTAGCACACCGCCCAAAAATTGTTTAAAAAGTTGAAAAAAGTATCACCTTTTAGTTGGTGAATATTTGGTTTACAATTTAATGGGACAGGGTCATTTGGTGACACAAGAGGTGGTAGTCCACCTTCCAGTGTTACTGTACAGGATCCATTTTTTCCATTCATACAGTCAAAAAAAGTCTTTGTTGGCCATCAAAGTAATGTACAGCTTGCTTTTTATGGTTAGTCAATTTATGAACAACTCATTTATGTAGCTTCCACATCTTCCCAAGTCTATCTAAGCTAGAGAATGGTTTCATCATTTAGGTTGAACACTTTGGGAATTTACTGATGTGTTTGATGTGAATCAAATTTGATCACTTCCCTCAATTTATCTTTCACTAAAGGTCTACCAAATGGTTCACCCCCAGAAGCAAACCGTTTGAACCATTTTCAGCAGTGCACTCACTTATTGTTTCATCACCGAATGCAGTGCAAATTTTACAAGATAAAATCATCGGGATCGGCTGCAAGTACCGATCTAAAATTCGTACGATAAGCATGTACCAGTTTTGGGTTTTAAAGCCTTGCGATAGAAAATATTTTGTGATTTACAATTAACTGTTCAAGACACGTTTTCTTTATGAACCGATGCATTATTCTTTGATAATGAAAATACCTAATCCATTAATGAAAAAACATACAAATTTTCGTGGTTGGTATTATTTATGGGCCTACAAACATAGTGGATGGCCCTCTATTGTTGAAAATTCGGTTCTATGGCCGGCAACTTCTAAAGGTCTGATAGCCATAATCCTGTTTTTAATACTTTATATTGTGCTTTCGAAATATTTTGCAAATAAATAACAATAGAAATTGGAAACAGTAATTACAGATTTTTCCTTTCTAAAATCAAATCAAATCCTCAATAGATTTCATTGTTTAGATCAGAAAATTTGTATTTTTGATAGATTCGTCTGGCTTGCAGCTTACAGAGGAAGAATTCCACTTTGATCCAAAGATAGACAGTCTGTATTATCCTACAGATACTCCAATAAAAATTTTCAACATCTTCAAAAAATAACCTAAATAATAAGTAAGTATGAAGTGTATGTTATATGATCAGGTTTACAAATGTCAAAGTATGTATGCGTGTAATTAAAATACACAATACTACAGCCAAAAGGGACATAACTTTTTTTTACATAAAAAATTGTTAAAAAAATAACGGAAAAGTTATATATTATTTATTTATAGGGTTGTTGATGTGTTCTGTTCATTAATAATGTTTTACTTTTTAAATAAACTATGACATTGTTACTATGTTGTAATGATTTTGGAAATTTGGTAAAAATAGGTCATTTTAACTGATGATGGCTGATTTTTTAAAAGCTCTTATTTGTAATTTATAACTTACAGTGAAGTAAGCAAACATCTGCAAAGTAAGTCCATAAATTGTCACATGAACTACATGCAGGATTTTAGTCAAATCAAGTCAAACTTTTTCTATAAATTTTACGTTTGTATGCAATTTAAATTAAAAGTTAATGATGTATTAGTTAATTTTTATTTTAATCCATTTCAAAGTCCATTATAAGTCAAAGAACATAATAATTGTTGTCTCTAGTATAATAATTTCTTGAATGGCATATATTTATAAATAACTTAATTTTTTCACATCTTGTGTCATTTATTTTAGGCGACAAACGAAAATGTCAATAAAAGGGAATGATGAACAAGGGAAAATCGACTTGCTGGTGTTTGGCTATGCTTGCAAGCTTTTTCGAGACGACGAAAAGGCTTTGATGATAGATAGCGGATCTCACTTGATACCATGGATGGGCGATGAAACGCTCAAGATTGACAGGTACGACGGGAGGGGAGCCCTCTACGACCTGTCCGCTCATGAACCAAAAGCCGATTCTAAATACGAGCTGACTGAAGAGGAGAAGACGGTGGAGCAGATCTGCGACCAAGAACGCTATCGTTCGCTTTACATAAACGAAGAGGAAGAGATATTTTATCGGAGCGAGATAGCGAAACGCTCTCAGAAAAAAGAACAGGAATATTCCGAAGTCGCTTATAATTATGACGTGCCAAATTATCCCGGAGATGAGCCCAGCGTTGAAGATGCTCCGAGTAAACCTTTCGTTCCTCCTCCTGACCTTAAAATACCTCATGATATGAAAGTTCCCGAAACAGTCAAGCACAATGCAATCTTAGAAAGAACTGCATTGTTCCTTGCTCAACAAGGTCCTCAGATGGAAATATTAATGAAAGTCAAACAACAAGGAAACAAAAATTTTGATTTTCTTTCTCACACGGACGAACTTCACAGGTATTATTTACACCTGAAAGCTTTAATAAAAGCGGGCAGCTATGTGCCCAAGGAGCAATATATGGATGATGATATCGGGGCCAACCAAAAAGGTGATTATCTCCATCCCACTCATGCAACAAATGCACCTACACCTATGTCGGAAGACCAAAAAGTCAAACCCCCTCCGCCGAATTCTATATCTCCTCCAGATTACATGCAAAAAATTATAGCAATAATGGTGAGATACGTGCTAAAAAATGGAAACCGGTTTGAATCCACGGTGATGAAAAGGGGCGATTTACGATTTTCTTTCTTAAATCCTAAAAACCCTTATCATTCGTTTTACCAGGAAGAGCTCCGTAAAAAGCAGGCAAAAACTGAAGTCTTGAAAACAGCGACAGGGGATGCATGCAAGCCGAAAAAAGAAGAAAAAGAGACTGGCAAATCTCTTAAGAGAAAGCCGATACCAGTCTGCTTCTCTATTAAAAAACCAAAAGAGAGCGAAGGTTTAGAAGTCTCGAGCGCCCTTTTAATGGAGGAAAGTTCAGATGAAGACGAGACGGGATCAGTGAGCTCTCCGAAACAACAGAAAACCGAGCCTGATGTCGATGTCGTCAACTCTTTGGAAAAGAGGCTAAAGAAATCATCCGAAGTCACGAAAAAACACAAGGAAAAGAAAGACTTACATCTTCAGAATGAAAGGAAAATGAAAGTAGCGCAGTTTCTCAAAGATTTGAAAAAGAAAGGGACTTAGTGAATTGTGAAATTGCTCAATTGTATATGCTATACATTAACTAAAACTTTTTATTCTAGTTTAGTCAAAAGTTTAGTATTAATATCTCATGTAATTATTTTGTCTTTTGTAAAATAAATTGATTTTATGTAATGCTATTTTTATATTTTATCACTGCTGTACTCAGGCAACTTTATATTAAAGTTTTAGTAAAGTTCATTGAAAAAATGTACCAATTTATGGATAAATGCTCCCACAACTTAGATTGAAATAAAAGTATAGAAATATTTACAAATCAAAGCTAACCCATACCCCTTTACCACTCAGTTTCCTCCCAAAACGGTTATTTTTATTTGGTAAGTGATCCTCACAATCCGTTCAGCATGTGTCCTGATGTCAATTTAAGACAATTTATTAAAAATAATTAGAAACGCGTGGTTCGATAGTAAATGCTTTCATGCTAGGAAAAGATCTTTAGCGCTGCTGAACCTCTTCTGCAAAACACTCGGAATTTACAAGAATAGTTTTGAGGAAGATATTCCTGTTATAAAGCATTGTGCAAAGTCAAGAGGTCCGCTGTTATATTAACAGCTGTGTCACAACTTTCTGTAGTAAAATATGAGCTTTGGATGACGATAATTTTGGAAAGAAAAGTTATATTTGTGGCAATGGTTCTCACATTTTCAGTCATAAAATCCGAACAGGAATGACAGCACTATTATATTATGTGATTCCTTTAAATATTGTTCCCCCCCTTGGATAAAGCCTTTTCTCTTAAGGAACGGTAGGTAGGCAGTAGTCTATCCCCTCAAAAGCCAAAAAGCCCCTGATCTTGACAGAATCACAAATGATTTCTACAAGTTTGAACACCCCCCATGGAGTCTGTCTACATACTGTTTTAGATTTTTATAATTACATTTATAACATAGGTGATATTCCTCTATCTCTCACTCTTTTTAAGCACAGCGATATCAATGATGTGGGTAGTTATAGAGAAATTTTATGTCTAGATGCCGTAACAGAAATTTTTCTAGCCTTCTGGTTAATCACATAGCTAGCTTCTACGTGTCGAGGAATGATTTACTCAGTGAATAGAAATGGGATTCAGAAAAAGCTATTCCAATTTTGAAATGGGCATATTGAAAAACTTTACTGCTTTTTCGTTGATCTCAAGTCAGCTTTTGACAATGATGGCAGGAGCGGGTTTTCACTTAAAATTAAGCAATCTAGTAATATCAATGAAACTTTTCACCAAATTAAAATCAGTTTTTTACGTCACAGGATCAAGAGTGAAAGGTCAGGTTTGGCTGAAGTTTTTAAAGTGGAATGTGGTGTTTGGCAGGGACCCCCCCAAGTCCTTTATTGTTTGCTGTATTCTTAGACGATTATTGGGAGCTTACAGACAACGACACCCGGACTGTAAAAACCTCAAAAAGTCAAAAATGTTATTCAGGAAGATTAGAGTACTAACAAGGGGACCGGATTGAAGTAGTCATTGAATATAAATAGGTGTACTCACTCTACATGCGGTGTCAAAATATTTGAATCAAAAGACGTCTGCAGCAAGAATGAACCTGTGGTCAGCCAGTATGTCATCCCAATCAAATCAAAATTTGCAGACTTTAACGGTTCCTTCCTTTACTATGGGTGGCGGCGGCGGGGATTTCAACAGTACATTATAGAAAAATTCCAAGATATTTTATACGTAAACTTTTTTCACTGCCAAATTTAATATCAAACTATACTTAACAATCCTGATTTTTATTTTTACAATGAAACTTAATTTTGCGTGCGTATACAAAAAGACCTGTTTGCTTCCCAAATCAAGATTAACCAAAATCACAGCCGCTGTGATTATCAAGTTGAACGTTTCCCGGTTTTTAAAATGGCGAAAAATATGGCCTTTAGTCTTTCCGTCCATGGAGAACATCGGCTGTTGGCCTAGTGGATATCCAGCCAACACCAAAGAATTGAACAAATCCAGTCGGTTGATTTACATCCAGGCTCTTTCTAAATAAAGGTATGTTTAATTTAAGTAAACATAATTTTGATTGTCATTGGAGGGACCTTTAGATCGGTGGCCGTAACGGTTTAGCGTTGACAGTTTGACACGTCGCTCATCACTGTAAGGTCCCGGGTTCGAATCGTACAAATTTCATTTAATTATTCTTTTTATGTAAGGTCTTGGTTTAGTGGAAAAGGTTAGTGTCACGAGCGGGATTCGAACCCAGGACCTTCGGCTCCATACGCCGCTGCTCTACCACTTGAGCTATCGTGATACTAAATTACTAACTTTCTACAGCTATATGACTCAAGTGGTTTGAGCAGCGGCATATTGAGCCGAAGGCCGTGGGTTCGAATTACACTCGTGACATTAACTTTTTCATCTCAACAAGAATCATAGATAAAAAGAATAATTAATATTAATGCTAAATTTACCCAAAGATTAAAAAAAAAATCGTTTGTCATTATTCTAGAATAAGGACTTTTTAAAACTAAATTAATATAAACTTGTCAGTTTAATATACATATCATTTATTTGAAACTTTATTGAAATATACTGAATTATGAAAGAGCGAGACATTACAATAATTTAAATTACTGCAGCGATAAGCCTTATTTGAAACCGTGAAAATAAGATAACTACAGTAATTATTATGGGATATTGAAAAAAAATTGAACGAAATGCTTGAGGATCGGAATAACCAGAAGTCCGACAAATAAATTCATCTATTTCAGGGCGAACGGAAGCCACTATATTCTATGATTTTTCAACGAAATGATGAAATATGAAACGGTTGGCCAAAAATATAAATGAGTTATTTTCAAAATTACCCTCCTTAAAACTCAAAATGCCCCCTTGTCGGGAAACACTGGTCTATATATTTGGAAAAAAATCTTGAAGATAAGATAAAGTAGACATAGTGAACATCTGAGAAAAATTGTCTTGCAGTCAGACTGGAGTGGCATACTTTCCACAAGAAAAGGTGTTTTAAGCACTACTCGATAACCTTGGAAAACAATTATAACAGCCAGGTCAAAAATCCTTGACAAATATTTTATTTGGTGATTGATCAGCCTTCTCAGTTTAAATTTTTTTTTTCTTACCAAAAGGTAGATCGGGGATGATCCCCCACCTCCTCATCCCCGATCTACCTTTTGGAAAGAAAAAAAATATCCTTGACAAATTAGAAACTCACTTACCATAAGTACAATATGAGCATAAATCATTGACATAGTCAAAGCAGTGTCAGTTTAATTTCTACCATAAAAGGACCCCTTGGCGGCTGTTGAAAGCAGATTATCAGAACAGTTAATTGAAATAAGTAATTTGGTCAATTAGACCACTAAACATAAATGGGTTAATACTTTAATACTTACTTTTTTTTTTTTTAAACACCGGCACCCCGAGGGTTCATAAAACCATAGTTGAAATACCCTCGTTAAAAAAAAGGACAAAAAGCACCTTAGATGGCTGATTAAACTCTCTGAATCGCTTCTGGGGTGGTAGCTCGATTTGTATGCTCTACAACTCACGTGCTGTGAAAAGTAATAAATAATGTATTTTACGGAATTAATCCAATGTCTATTTATCTATTGATCCATTATATGAGAATGTTCTCCATTTTATTCCTATTATATTATTTTATGCCTGGGCATTGATGATAATAAGTGTACTATTATTGTTCTACTTGAGTTTTCCAATGCATTTGGTTCTGTAAATCATAATTTGCTTATTTGGAAACTGATTCATCTTTTTTTTTTCTTCTACTAATACTAATCTCATTTCCTCCCATCTGTCTGACAGAACTCAGAGTTAAAGCTTCAAATTGTATCTCCTCTTCTCTTACATTCAATGTCTCTGACACTATCCCTCTGCTCAAACGTGTTCTTCATTCTCTCAACCAATAGTCAAGTAATAACAGCATCCTTTTAAACCCTAACAAATCCCAGTCCTTATTAATTTCCAATAAACCCGTTAGTACAGATTGCCTATCTGAGAGGGCTTCATATCAACAGCTCCCCTATTAATTTTTGTCCTAAAGTTAAAAATCTCAGCGTTACTTTTACCTCTAAGCTTACATCGCATGACCATGTGAGCTCTATTATTAAAAAGATCTACTCAAGCCTCCATTCTCTTCGACGCCTCAGCTTTTTCACACCATGGAAAACTAGAGTTCTCCTTATTAAATTCCTAATAATTCCTTTATTCTCTTATTCTATGTAATGCTATTTTTTTCACTTTTGTTAGACCCTCGATCTGCTCATCGCCTTCAAAATTTTATTATGTGTTATATTATTATTATTGCTGTTATTATTATGTTTCTAGGTTTACAAAACTAAATTTGTTTCTAATAAACATACACATAAGGGGGTTTAAGGGGGCTTAAAGCCCTATTTGCACTTTTAAAATAAATAAATAACAACTGTAAGATGAATCAACCATCTAGATATCATCAATTTGTTATGGATCAGGGGTGGTGGTCACAAACAAGTATTATAACTTCTATGCCAAGCACTTCTAGGTGAAGTATTTACAATACACACTTCTTTGTGATCATGTCCTTGATCCTCAACAAAATTAGTCCTACTTAGAGTTCCTCAGAGTGGTGGTGATTCCTTTTTAGACATCAAATTGGCCTAAGTGGAGGTGTTTAGTGAAAGATATTATTAAGATGATCCTCCATCAAGCTGTGGAGGCAATGGTTTGAGTGGCTTTGCTGAACTATGGAATGTATGAAGTTCCTGATGTACTAGTGTCAGTCCATTTCCCAGATACATTCTGCCATAGGGTGAATGAGGAATAGATGCAGAAGCTCATTGGGGCAAGAGTAAGGCCTCAAAAATGATTTGAGTTAATATTTCACAAATTTGCGAATAAATGCTGTGTTATGTTATTTGATTCAGTCATCTTGCCCATGTTTTAACTCATCTCAAGATGCTGAAGGATCTGTCAATTGTGCTCGTGGAACAAGGCTATTGATACGAATAAAGCTTTTTTATCGAGGGGAAGAAGGAAGATCCCTCTTAAATTACTTCTACCATTTCCTACTTTTTTAGCACTTCATTGTCAATCCACTTCTTCCAATTAGCATACCAAAGTTCAACCTCAGATTGGCACTCCCTCAACTTATAAAAATCATTGAACTCTGCGGTTTTTCTTCTAACTGCTTAAATGAAAACTTGAGCATCAGATACAAATGCATAGATAAAAGAGAGAAGCCTGGAGTGTTATCCTCAGAGAATCTGCTCTCTAAGGAAAATAAGAATGAGATGAGATAAGGGATAGCATTC